TGATGCTGTCAATGTCTAAATTAACCCAGAATTATGCTCATGCGACGCGATCAGCCTTTACTTATGAGCGTCCAGTGTTCGCTTACATGATAATATTCACCTTTGGTCAATTTAAGCCAATGATATTCGCGCGTCACAATAGTGAACTAGCCAAAGATTGACTTGAATATCCCTAACTACCGAGAAAGGAGGACAGACTGGATCGTACTTAGTACGTGTAAGGTACACGCAGCCACGCTTTTTACAGCAGACACACACACAGATAATTACGATTTAAATGGTTCGGTATTCACCTTGCGCACAGTCAAAATAGCTTCACCATTCAGGCTCAAAACAATACGCCTACTGTAACGGGGAACCCTTTGTTTGGGTGCCACAAAACTTCACGTACACTAGTACATGCAGAGGAAGCTAATCTACTCAAATAGCAAGTTTGAGTGAAATGTAAAAAGAGAACTGTACTAAATATAGTCAAGCTATCAATATAACTTCAGTCTTTATTTAACTATGTAAATTTGCATTGTCGTATAACGACAACCTGCTCACCACTCAGTAAGCGCGTCTGGCATCGATTGGTGGTAACCTTGGTTGATATGTCTTTTACCAACCAATCTTCGAGCAGCACATGAATGTTATCCTAAGGTGATAGTATCCCTTCAAAACTATCTATCTTGGGTAATATTGGCAGAAGATTGTCACGCTGGACAATCTCCCTATTGACACCGTTTGGAGTCAATTTAATACAACGGGCTAGCTCTTACATCACCCCCCCCCTTAACCGTCAATCACCCGTTGATTGAATTTTAGGGACAATGTGATCTCTATTGGATCACTCTAAAAAGAAATGAACTAGATGGTCAAATTCCAACTTATTTTTCACTTCAATGCATGGCGTCAAAGTCCATGCGATTTGCTGCTGAAGCGCTCAGGAAGGCGACTGCACGCATGCGTGCAGCCAAAGAAAGTACTTTCAGAGCCTCAGCATATGGTGGTTATCCGTCTGCTGTTGCAAGTGAGAAACAGGCAGTACCTGTTTCGATTTGTCCACGTGGTGAGTCACCACGTGCGGCAGATGCATCCGGTGCGTCTGTAGCGATGGACTCGCAATATGGATGAGCCTGAAATTGAGCTCATGCATTTAGGCGAGTTGGATGATGCATTCGACTCGAAGACAGAGCCATCTTCCTCCGGGTCAACCGAAGCGGACACTGTCAGAGTCATATTGACTTAGCGCCTGGGAAGTTTGGCGCTGTCATGTCCGAGATCTTTAGACCGATCGTTTCGTCTGACGAATCCTCGTTCAAAGTAAGTCCATCTTACAACAGGACGCGTGGTTCTGCTGGTGACGCATCTATACGTCACCACGAGAGGATCAACTTGAGGGATCGAGCTGCCACTGGTGTAAGCGCTCGTAGTGACACCACTCAAGAGGCCAGGGGCCAAAATGTCCCGCGCCACGCTCCTCAAGTGGAGTCTTCTTGGATGCCATCATCCAAGGAGTTAGATTGAGGGGCCGGTGCGATTACCGAACGGGATCGCATCCCGTTGTTTGACTGTAGGAGGATCTGTCCTCCTAATTCCAGCACGGAAACCGTCCGTTATGAGGAAGAATTATTCCCTGATGCATTTTTCAAAAATCGGTCGTACAGTGGAAACTGTGGTCGAGACTGTAACGGGTTAGCTTGTTACATGAAATTGACACCCAAACGGTGTCAATTGGAATATGGTCTAGTATGACAATATTCTACCAATACTATCCTCCTTTAGATAATATTCATTCGCTGCTCCAAGATTGGTTGATATAAGACATGTTAACCATAGTTTGCCACCAATCGCTGCTAGACGCGCGCAATGAGTGGTGAGCAGGTTGTCGTCATACGACGGCGTAGTTTAATATAGTTAGATGAAGATTAAAGTCATTTTGATAGCTTAACTATCGATAAACGTTAACCAACCCCCAGATTTTCGTCAATTCTACCAATCAGTAGAATTGAATATATCACCGGTTTAAGCAGTAATTTACTATTTCATTTACAAATGATAAAATACTAAATCCAGATAATTGATGCATGTCTATAAGTCGGCGACGTGTGATAATTTACATGTCAGATACTGCGATTTTCCTGGATGGACACTGTAACAAAGGCATTCATTAATGCTACATTCGAAATTGACTTTAAGCCAGCTGCAGAGGTCTATCACGAGGTATGTGTGCAGTCGTAATACGTGTATAATTGACTAACTAGACTAACGCGTAATTTGATGATGGTAGTGGCTTAACCTCCTCCCATCGGCATGCACATCGCGGCTGCTCTCTATCCCACTCATTGTCGACTGACTCTTCATCCAACAGCGCGTCCTGCTCCAGATCAAAAAGATTCGAGTCAAAAGACGAAAAGGGCGAGATGCCAAATAATGACCGGGCTCGTGTGGTGAGGGTGAAGCCTATCGATCAAGGTACTGATGTCGCGGCAGATTCCGAGATGCTCGCTGATAGCCAAGCTGCTGTTGGTGATGGCTAGCGCGTTCGCTCTAGCGCTAGCTCTGTGGAGAAGAGGGACGTTGCAGATACTATGACTGCTACGCCGGCGACGAGTGGAGGTGTTACACTAAAGAAGTTCAAGTTCAGCGGCATCTCGATTAAATCTTGCAACTCGACAACGCTACGGTGTTTAAGAGCTGAAAGAAATTATTCAACAATTGAAAAATTAGCCTGTAAGCGATTACATGATGCAATTAGTGTGTTGGAATTGGCTTTCAGTATTTAGCAATATGACATTTTATCTATAACCAATCAAAAATATGGAAGGTGAATATATTACGGTAATATATAGGGGGTGGGGGGGGTGGTTAACGAAAACCTGGGGGTGGTTAACGTTTCCCCTAACTACATTAAATATAGTTCTCTTTTTACCTTACTTGATCGAGTCGTTCAAGTAGCTTAGCTTCCTCTGCACGTACTAGTGTACGCGAAGTTTTGCGGCACCCCAAACAAAGGGTGCCCCGTTACATTTGGTAGCACTTGTAGTCCGTCCAGCGACTGCTTAGTGTCCGTTCGACATGAACATGTTGGATGTAGAAGACGATATCTTTCACGTCACAAGTGAAGGCTACTCCCATCTGAGTGACTCAGAATGGGAGGTAGTCGGCCGCATGAGTGTGCTCATGGGCGAACCCGCCATTAGTGGCATGTTGGAGTCTCTAAACAGATACCAACAACACGCCGTTATCAACACGTTCCTACAAGGGGAACTTGCTGTCGAAAGAAACAGGGCAGCCTTGCTACACCAGCAAGGCTCTCATCAGTCTATGGGTGGGCCAACGCACACGCGTCAATCCGAAACCTTGATAACATTTTTTAAGGTACAAAAAAACCGATGAAGATTCCCTTTTGAGATGATTCGTCGAGTTAGACGACGCCACAAGGGCCCATCACATCGAGGGTGACGAGATGCAAGTCACCTTCGCCCTATCTAATTTGACGGAACGAGCAGAGACTTGGGCCTTAGGGCTCAAGCTTCACAACCCAAACGTGTTTTAGTCGTTAGATGTCTTGAAGTCTAGGCTCAAAGAGACGTTTGAGCCGTCATGAGCCGAGTTCAGAGCACGCTCTGCACTCTTTAGGCTAAAGCAAGGTAAGCGTGACGTGCACGCTTACGCACAACACCTACGCTATTTTGCGAGTAGCGTCACGAAAAAATCTGTTGATAAGCACACGCTCATCAACGTGTTCATCTACGGCCTTGTAGATGGACTGGTAAAGACCTACATGTTTCGAGAGGACTTCCATACGCTAGAAAAGGCGATAGTGTATGCGTGACAAGAAGACTTCAGCCTGAGACAGTCTCAGGCTAACTCGTCAAACTATTGTCCGACGAGACGACAGGAAACAGGAGGTCCCGAACAAATGGACCTCTGTTACGTCGAGAGTGAGAACTCGCGCTCTCTGAGTCACAAGCGAACGGCAAGATGCCATCGATTTCAGAAGATTGGACACTACGCATATGAGTGTTGTGTCCCGAGCACTGAAACAAGTCCAAAGACAGGACGTTATGACCGCCGTTGGCCAGGAAAAGTTCCGAGGCGTGGGTCCGACCATGTCGCTAAGCCGCGACAGCAAGTCGGACCGCCAAAAAACGGTCATGTTCAGTAGGGGCGGAGCACCCTGCTGGTCCAGCAACGTCAATAGAATTTGCAGAACTCTTGACGAAGATTGCTCCCAACACGCAGTCTCTGTGAGTTACTTCCCCTAGTGATGAGGTGTCCCCCATCACTTAAAAAATCGAAGGGACAAGTGGAATGTCACTTCGCGCCCTAGTCGACTGTGGTGCGTCGAACAGTTTATTCGACGTCAGTCGCTAGAGAATAGTAGTCTCAACTATGTTGAGCGAGAGTTCCCTCCAACGAGGATGACGGTGTGCCTTGCTACAGGCGCATCTGTAACAGTAGACAAACGTGTAGTGGGAATACACTACACGCTGGAAGGAAAGCAGTACGATGATCACTTCATCGTACTTGATCTAGATGACAAATTGGATTTCATCCTTGGTCTGCTATGGCTAAGAAAGTACCGGCCATGGGTTAGCTGGCAGCATCGATCCGTGAAGATTCCTGCCGTTTGTTCATCAGATGGCAATCTGATGAACATCTTGGAGCGTCCACAAGCGTGTGGATGTACTACGAGTGAGTGCGATGGCCTCACTTGTGGTACGGTCGTTAGTGCGATTGCACAAGATCACAGTGTAGAAGGCCACTATACTGTGGAACCAGCTTCCGGCACCTGTGTAGAGACACAGGCTGCGCCGAAGGTTCACCACTCGAAGAGATCGAGTGGACCGGAACACGGATGCACACCAAAAAGGGTGCATTCGAGAAGAGAGACTAGTGTTGTTCAGGATGTACAACACGTTGAAGCGAGATCGACTATCAGAGAGTCGATCGTAGAGCAAGCCCGCTCGACTGAGTCGATTAAAGAGGAGGGGAGTGTGATAGTACACGTAATGGAAGAAAAATCCAGCGTTCCTGAAAGCAATAACTTCCGAGAGAATAATGTTGAGGGTGTGGATCTCCAACCATCTGCGGATGTGCTTTCCCAGGAAATCACCGAGTCAGTTAATGTCTTGGTGAATGACGGATCAAGTGTAGGCGCTTATACACTTGATCTGGTGACGCCCCCGAAGTCAGCTTCGGAGGTGGTCAAGTTGCCAACGCTAGAATCTAAAAGATTTTTGCGAGATCTGCGTAGTGACAAGATCAAGCAGATCTGCGTACTCGTCACGGAGGACGCGTACATCGTCTATATTCGGTCGTCACAAGTGTTTGCTGACAACGAACGGGTTCTCAGTAGATCATCGATGGACGAGAGCGTCCCTGGTGCGAAGACCCGGATTGAGCGATACACGTCTCATTCTTGTTAGTCTTTGAAGCACAAATCCTTTGTATAAGAGTTTGGTTGAGATTCAGGGATGTTTTACTGAATCCGTGCCATGCGGTCTACCTAAAGGACAAAGGAACTCGGCATGAGATCGAAATGAAACCCGATTTGAAGTACTTTGTCATGAAGCAGTGGCCACTGCCACGAAATGAACTAAAGATGCAGCGATCGACAAGTTCTTGGCCGATCACTTAGCGGCCTGGTCATGTGAGGGAATCAACATCCCTCACACAGCTCTCCGAGCTTCTGTAAAGGAAAGGCCACAGAAAGGTGGCGGATTAGGCCTTACGCCTTAACCAAATTGAACGCTGCAACAGTACCGGCTCGAGACGCCGATACCAAAGAAGGACGACACCATAGATGGTATAGCAAAAAGTACCATCTTTTCGTCCATGAGGATCTGATGGATGGATTCTGTCAGATCTTCATGCACGAAAACAGGACATCCCGTACACAATCAGTGAGCAAACCCCCAGCGGTATGATGCTGGAAGTGACTAGGGTGATGCCACAGGGGATCAGTAACGCCACTGCCACAACGCGTTCAACAGATGTGTTTGATCTGTTGCGATCGGTGCGCAGATTTCGCTCCGAGTTTCTTTCGACGATATCTTCGTCCAAAGCCGGGCTATGGATGCGACAGAGCGGACGTAAAGGTGCATAGAATGCACGTCCAGAAGGTTCTTACACTTATGCGAGAGTATAAGCTGTTCGCGAACCTCAAGAAGTGCATATTGGCAGCGAACGAGATACCACTTCTTTGCTGCATCGTAGGTAAAAATGATGTGCGCCCTGATCTGGAAAAGATCAAGGCGATTAGCGGGGCAGGCCGTGCCAGTCGACATCAAGGGGCTTTAAAGTTCCTTAGGCTTAGCGGCGTGTCTTGCACAAGTACTCACGCAACTACACCAGAGATGACCGTAGAGCTCTCTCGTCTGTTGAAAAAACTAGGGAGGTGGTCATGGGGTGCTGAGTGTCAGAACTCTTTTAAAGGTATCGGGAAAAGCGTGACCACAATCGCCTGTGTTGGCAATTCAGACCAGGACCAGACCATTTCAATGTGGTCTGTGACGCCAGCGATTTTGCTATCGGCTGCGCCGTTAATGCAGTACGACTCAGACGGCGTTGAGCGCTTCGTCTGTTATCAATCGCGTCAGCTGCAAACAGCTGAGCGTAATTATCCATTGCATGAAAATGAGCTCCTTGCCATGAAATATGGACTGGCTGAGTTTCGGGTATGTCTCTTTGGAGATAGGCCCTTCATCGTTTGTACCGACCATGCGTCATTACGCACGGCCGTAAAAAGCCCACACCTCTCGCAACGAATGGCAAGGTGGCTGTCTTTCTTCGCGGATTACAACTTCTCCATCGAGTCTAAACCAGGACGACTTAATGTCGTCACTGATGCTTCTTTCGCGTCGGCCCGATTTCGAGCCGACTTCTCGAACCTAACTGTCACGGGTGATCTAATGTAGCAACACTAACAGTGAGTGTTCCGTCGTCGAGTCTGCTCGACGGCGTGCCAACTGCATACGCAGAAGATGAGTCTCTTCTGCTATTGATAAGTTACGTGTCCAATCCATGCAGTCAATCTTTGAGAAGTTTGATGTCTCAATATAGCTCTTCAACCGAACAGTATTTGGTTCGTGATGGACTGCTGTAATGTACAGCAATCACCGGTGACACACCTCGTGTCGTCGTTCCCTCTCATGATGACTTGCGATTGTGCATCATTGCATGAGCGTCACGATGCCCCAACAAGTGGGTATCGCGGTAGAGAAAAGACCTACTTCACGGTAAGTCGTGACTTCTACTGGCATCGCCATTTTGAAATTGTGCGCAAATACATTTGCGCTTGAAAATTTTGTCAACGAGTGAAGCCTAGTCCTTCATCCCGCGTACCCTTGCAGCCTCTTCCGATTCCGGCAGAGTGTTGGCAGTCCGTATCGATGGACTTCGTCTTTGGCTTTCCCACAGACGTTTACAAGAATACTGGGTATTCTTGTGTTTGTTGATCAGTTCAGCAAGATGGTACATCTTGTTGCTGTACCGGAATCAATCACAGCCCAGGGTCGTGCTCGTGTCTTCATCGGTACTATCTTCCGACTTCACGGATTACCCCGTGAACTCGTGTCTGATAGGGACCCCCGTTCACAGCGGAATTCTAGCAATCCGTGTTCCGTTCACTTGGAACACGTTTGACGATATCAACTTCTGACCATCCTGAAATTGACGGTCAGACGGAACGTGTCAACCGCGTCCTCGAATAGATACTTCGGGGTACGTCCACTCGTTTACGAGTTGGAGTGAGTTTTGCCGATGGCGGAATTTGCCATCAACAACTCGGTGCATGCGTCGACAACGCATACACCGTTCTTCGTGAGTGGCCTACGCCATCCAAGTTTTTCTACCCGCCTTTTAGAATGTGACTCTAGTTTAAGGGGTTGGACTCGCTCAATAAAAAATGATCTGGTTCTTGTCATCACACGTCGGCAATGGTATCGACGTGATGGATGTCGATGTCGATCACATCAACATCGATGATGATGATGATGACGTCGATGCTGGTATATTTATCATCGCCAATGACTGCCACAGTGAGGACGATGACGTCCTCACTGGTGAAGACAACTTTCTTTCATCAGTGCACACGAAGCGCACTGCTGTTAACGAGGATGAATCAGCAGAGGAATTTCTGCTGACTTGCGAAGAGGTTGTCCGCTTCCGTTCAAGACTCTATTGTAGATGCACTAGAGAGACAGAAAAGAAACGCAAACACACGTGGAAGAGCAAATGTTCTTTCATTTGATGAAGGAGACTTAGTTTTACTGTTTACAGTAAATCTACCAAAACACGCAGTGACAAACGTGGGCAGCAGTAAATTACTGCCCAAGCATATCGGTCCTTTTCGTGTGTTGCGCCAAATGGGCAACGCATACACGATTGAGCTGCCCGTAAGATGCGTACGCATCCTACGTTTTAGGTTGGACGTCTCCGCCCATACTATCAGTACGAGCCCGTTTCGAGATGCGAAGAACACCTCCGCGGTCGAGAGGCCGAGACCACCCTCGAGTGGTCTTGTTTCAACGAGCCAGTCTGGTCGACTAGCGAAGCGACCTGCTCATGCAGTTGAGCGATGTCTCGACGAGCTGCAGCCAGCCCTCGTCACGAAGAGAAAAAGTCGAACGTTAGTTCTCAAGTTATGCGACCGCAAACGCGTCACGATCGTCCGAACGATCGTGCGTTAAGGAATTGTAATTATCCTTTACAAGATCATGGAGCTCGTAACGCCGAGTCCGTTCATGAGCCAGATCATCGTGTAACTGTTCCGTTACACGGTTCAGCTCCCTGAACATCAAGCTGATCCGACCCTCGAGCCGGATCAGGTGTTCCCGCCGCCACCACATCCTTTGATGGATTCTGGCGGTGATAAAAGCTTTCTGGTGGAGCGTATTTTGAACCACCGCAATGTGAATGACGTCCGGACGAGTTACCTCGTCCGCTTGCGTGGCTATCTACCGGCGTGGGACAGCTGGGAGCCTCGTGCCCAGCTGATTCTTAATGTTCTTGGCCTCGTCGAGCAGTATGACGAGACCCACCCGCTGCGTTCGAAGAAGGGCCGTCAGAAAACGACCTCTCTGAACGCGAGTACAGGGGTTGCAAAGTGTCAATCCCTTCGGCTGTCTCAGAAGAGATGCGCGCCCTCCAGTAGGGATCATTAGGGAGGTAGGCCTCCCCCTAGAGGCAAGATCTGAGTTTTCTAGGCAACCTGAACACAAATCACCCCATGAGAGACAGGGTAATCCTGCCTCTCTTGACAGCCAGTGCAACTTGTATCGCATCCCTGGATGGGTTACGCTTTTCAAACCTGATGCGAGCTGCATCAAGTTTGGCGAGCCAGGCCTCACGGCCAATGCACTCGATGTAATGGATGAGGACATTCCATCCTTGCACCAAGGCTTTACCATCTCGAACACGGCTGCTATTGTACCAAAAGATGTTTGAAAAACGCATCGGTGAAGAATTCTTCCTCAGCACGAATAGTTTCCGTGCTGGAATTAGGAGGGCAGATCCTCCTACAATCGAACAACGAGATTCGATTCCGTTCAGTGGTAATGCCGGCTAACCGGTCCAGCTTTCTGGATGACGGCATCCAAGGAGACTCCACTTGAGGAGCGTGACGCAGGACATTTTGGTCCCTTGCCTCTTGATTGGTGTCAACACGAGCACTGACACCAGTGGCAGCTCGATCCCTCGAGTTGCTTCTCTCGTGGTGATGCATAGGTGCATCACCACGATCATCACGCGTCCTATCGTTGGATGGACTCGCGTGAGGCGAGGATTCATCGGAATAATCGCTCGGTCCGAAGATCTCGAGCATTATGCCGCCACGTTGACCAGAGCCAGTCAACTTGGCTGTTGCAGTGTCCGCCCCGGTTATACGGAGCCGTGAGGTTTCGCCTTCGGGTTGGATGCATCATCCGTCTCACCCAGAATAGATGAGCTCTATTTTAGACTCATCTTGATTGCAACTCGTGGTACCCGCTGCAGACGCAGCGGATGTACCTGTCGCACGTGGTGACTCACCCGTGGACGATTCAAAACAACAGGCGACGAATCAATTGCTGCTGAGGCGTGAGAAGTACTCTCTCCGGTTGCACGCATGCGTGCAGCCGTCTTTCTTGCTGCTGCAGTAGCAACCCGCTTGGTTTTCGATACCATGCGTTGGATTGGCAAGGAATGAAATTTGACCAACAAGTGCTCCTTTCCCAGTGTGATCCAACGGTGGTCACCCTGTCCCAATCAATTCTATAATCAACGAGTGATTGATGGTTTAAGGGGGGTGATAGAACGGGGTAGGCCGTTACATGATGCGGACACCAAACGGTGTCAATAGAGATATTGTCTAGCATGACAATATTCTACCAACATTATCCGAGATAGATAACATTGAAGAAATATTATCTCCTTTTGGATATTATTCATGTGATGCCCAAGATTGATTGATAAAAGGTAATCAACCATAGATTACCACCAATCGCTGCCAGACGCGCGCAATGAGTGGTGAGCAGGTTGTCGTCATACGACAATGTAGTTTAATATAGTCTGATAAAGACTGAAGTTATATTGATAGCTTAACTGTATTAAATACAGTTCTCTTTTTACCCTTTACTCCACTTAGCTGTTGAGTAGATTAGCTTCCTCTGCACGTACTAGTGTACGTGAAGGTTCGCAGCACCCCAAACGAAGGGTGCCCCGTTAAATTTAGGGTGTGTGCGTCGGACTACTTCACGAACACGTACGTGCAGAGGAGATTGCAAAACGGAGTAAGAGTACCCAGTAAGGTAAAAGAATAGAGCCTTATTTTTTTAGTATACTTAATCTTTTTAATGAATCCTAACTTAACTTTATTTAACTATGTCTGATTGCAACCATGTATTGTGACTTTCTGTCCACCACTCATTGCGTGCTTCTGTTGTGGCTAGATTGGCTGATCTTGTTCCTATATCAATCAATGATCAGTGTGTTACATCTGCGAAGCAATGTTATCGATTGGGATAATATTATGAGAAAATTTTTTTTGCCCTAACATAGTATTCATACTTGGTAATCACCTTACACTCCGCGCCAGGTAATATCGTACACCTGTACTTTTATCCACTGCTCACTCAGTTTTACGAGTTAGCGGGTGCTCATTAGATACACTCCGCGCCAAGCAATATCGTACGCCTGTACTTTTATCCACTGCTCAGTCATTTATACAAATTAGCGGGTGCTATTTGGATATGTGGTGTAATTTCTTAATGACAACACCCTATGTGTGTTTACGATTGCGATTTCGCAAAGCGTAAGGGGCCTCACATACAAATGATTGGTTTTTGCCACTGCGACATCTAGAATCGTCCAAACGGCATACAAATTTTGAGTATAAAATGAACAATTTAAGACACTGTATTTAATAGTGGGTTTTATCGCCCTTATTCTCGATGACCTCAATGCATCGTTGCGGCATTGAGCGAACAAGCGACACAAGTTTGGCATCCAAAGTTGCATTCCAAGCTGCAATTAGTGCAGCCTTTAGCTCAGACACGCGCTCGAACTGTGCTCCATTGGCGTACACTTGCCTGCTAAGGATAGACTACAAATTCTCGATGGGGTTGAGATCAGGTGACTTTGATGGCCAGTCAATCACCTGAATACCCTCTTCACTGAATAATTCGCGGCTACGGTGTGAAACATGCATGCTTGCGTTGTCCTGTTGAAAAATAAAATCTGTTCCATAGTTCAGATGCGCAAATGGTAGAAGATATCCAGACACTGTATAAACAAAGTGATCCGAATCCTGCCTCCTCGTCAGCACAACAAGTGGAGACTTGCCACGGGCGCTAAAAGCGGCCCAAACCATGATGGAACCACCTCCAGCTTGTCGTCGCTTCGTCTGGCGGACGGACTGGCGCACATCTCTACAGTAGTGCTAAAAGCCGTCGGGCCCGTCAAGTTTCCATTTTTTCTCGTCCGAGAAAATAATGGAGTCCCAGACGGAACCGGAAATCTTATGCAACAGCACACGTTTGGCCCAGGATTTGCGTGCACCCATGTCCGCGACCGTGAGCGGCAACATGTTTCCATCTTGGCGTACACAAGCTAATCGACATCGGCCAAAATGTGCTGCACGGTGCGGACGAACACCGGCAGGCTTAGCTCGACCCTGAGATGGGCTGCGGACAGGTTTCCCTGAGAAGAGGTGCGCAAGAGAAGTCGCAAGCGGCTCTTCGAGAGAAGCGGAGCGGGTCCTCGGCATTTCATCTGTAGGGGAGAGGTAGGGGATACTACTCGACGTACAGTGTTAAGGCTCCTTGAGATGACAGTCTTGATGGCGCGCGAACTCAGTCTAGCCTATCGAAGCCCCACTATCCTTCCCCGCTCGTGGTCGGTAAGTCTTGGCTTCTTGTTGCCATTCCCGTCAATATGAGTCGCTAATATCGTGTCGCCAAATGCTTGTGCCGCTAATATTAAGCCAGTGATACAATCGTACTGATAGATTATACTTAAAATTTGTATGCCATTTTGTACGATTTTATATGTCGCAGTGGCAAAACCAGTCATTTGTATGTGAGGCCCCTTACGCTTTGCGAAATCGCAATCGTTAACACACATAGGGTGTAGCGGGGGCACCCCTTAAGCTTGTACTGATGACAGTACAAGCTACTTATTCTGATGACAGAATGAGGCGGTGCCGCGTAACTTCACGTACACTCGTACGTGCAGAGGAAGAAGGTAAGAAGAAGCGAGTACTTGGTTAAAGTAAAAAGTAGAACTGTATTTAGTATAGTTAATGTCTGCAATAAATCACTATTTATCTTCATCTAACTATGTCTGAATACAAACGTGTATATCAACTATCTGCTCACCACTCGTTGCGTGCGTCTGTCGTGGCGCGTCTTCGTTGGTTGATATATTGGCCTACATCAACCAATTAGTAACTACTCGTAAGTGCTACAGAATATTTGTCCTTATGACAATATTCTGAGAATATAACTCTTATAGTTACATTCTATTAACAATTTCTTATAAATTGTTATGTAACGATTCCATCCGTTACAATATTGTGTCGTCAATTGTAGGCTGTTCATGGCTATTGTCTCGCTGTATGCGCTTGCACGGAGGCCCTACACATCTGACGATGTATGGCAATTTGGCCGTTACACTAGCAAAGTCTCGACCTCAGGTAAAGATGATATTGGTCGGAGCTGCGAGTTCTTTGACAGCTGCATTCCGAGTTGCTGTATCCAGTTACAAGAAGCTCTTACCCCTGCAATGACGAAGACAACAGACAGGATCTTGATTTGCATCACACATCACACTGCTCAGCGGAAAACGTCAACATGACACGATACGTACTAAGAATGTCTGGAGGATGCACTGATCTCATGCTGCTGCCTCGTACACAGCACCAATGACCAACGCCACAAGCTATCGAGATGACCGAAACCTTTGCTTATTTGGAACTGCTGTAGCCAATGAATGGGCAGCGCGAGGTAAAGTTTGCCTGCACCAAGACCGGTACCAAATTCCAATGCATGCAGCGATTACCTCTTCAGTCCAACCTTCGCTAAAAACATAAAAAGCGAGCTCACATTGCATCAGTAGTGACCGTGGTGTTTCCGGTACAACCTCAAGTAATGGCAGTACAGCTAGTTGTGTCAAGTAATGGCCGCAAGGCTAGTTGTGTGATCGCAAGTGACGTGTGCGTGGGCCTGTCAAGCGATCCAATGGTGAACCGGATTATTCCGACGATACAAGCTAACGACCGTAGTACATACCATTACAACTGTCATAGTAGCACACTGAGCGAGCAACTTTGCCTTCCAGGCCATGTGTATCGTACACCCGTAGACAAAACACTCATGATTGTCCATCAGGGCGACTGCGTCGTTTATTACGTGGACCCTTTCGTCCTCCGCCTTACCAACTGCTTCTAGTTAGTGGTCACGTTGCTATTGTATCTCGCGCCAAACTCTCAGAGGAAAACACGCAACCCAGTGGTCCTGAGACACGCAATGACGACTATCACCCAAACATGAACCTCAAAAGGAAGCAAAGTCTTTGCTCGAAGCAAATCACGTTCGGGTCCCGTCGGCAGCGAGGTTAAAAAAAGTGATGAGGAGGCGGAAATGCCGGCAAGAATGATAAGAACTCTACACTAGACTCTAGCGTCCAGCAGCCCTGGAAGAGGCCGTCTATCGTGGCGCCCTGACGTGGTCATTCTATCTACTCTTGGCTGCAATCACTTCAAGACGGCGTCGACCGACATCGTAACTTCTTCCACAATTTTGGTGATCCGAAACAAACTCATTTGTCCTTCCCTGTCGATACATTCGCACAACAACTTGTCTGCACAAAAGGCGAGGAAGTCCGCCATGGCTTCGTCTTCCCCCCTAACCTCGTGCGCCAAGTACGTGACCGTGTCGCCATGACTAAATCTGTGAATAGTGCGCGCCAGATTCCTCCAACTCTCTGGACCATAAATAGGATTGATACAGTCGGACACGAGGATGTAACGGTAGCTGCTGCGGGGCAGAAGATCCTCACTGCCCCATCGAAACTCGGCCACGTCCACTCGCGCGCGCATGCTCTCGGACGTCGCATTGGTCTCGACATTGCGACGCAGCAGCTCCAGCGCCTCCGCTTGGTCCGTCAGCAGCACATCGGCCCCCAGACTCGACGCCACGAGTCCCGCGAGGCCGCAGCCGCTGCCCAGTTCCAGCACTGGTTGGCCAGCGCGGACGTCGAACGCCAGTGGCGACTCGGGCGAGGAGAAACGCACGAGGCGCTCGGCTAAGAAGCGACTGGCGTCCCACACGCGCGACGCCGTCCAAACGTCGGAAAAGAGCGGGGCCAGCGCGTCGCGGTGCAGCGTCTCCGACAGCGCGTAGCTGCGGTCGCCCACGACCACGAAAACGAGCGGCAGCGGTGTCATGTGCGTGTTATTGCGTACTTGGTTTTTGTATGTGAGCTTGTGCTAAAAGCCGGTTCGAACGAAAACTCAACCACGGCGTGTGTCGTCTCGTTGTGTTCTTTGTCCATCGAGAGAGGTGGGCGACGGGGCGGAACTGGCGTCGCGGAAAGCACGTCTCTCGCCCACTTTGGTCTACTGCGCGCATTTTCTTCTTCTTCTTTTTCTCTCTTTTTCCTCTCCTTGTTCTTCCTCCCATTCATGCTCGTTTCCTGCCACCAGCGTGTGGCGTCGTGCCTCGCGCGCTGACCCGACAAACGTCCAGTCCGCAGCCAATCTGGTCAGCAAGCACCTTGGAGCGCCCACTTCCACACAAACACGGCGTCGTCTCGTGTTTCCACCGACACGTGCGAAAGGTCGTGGCGTTTCGAAACCGTTGCATGCAACGGCGCAATCCGTTTTCTGCGCACTCGCTGCACGGTAAATGCGGAAAAAGGGCCTGGCGGGCCCGAATGGCTGCAGCTCCACCCGCACTCGTGCTGCCGTTGACAAGCGCTCCGTATGTCGAGTGCGCACTGTCCCGGCTCTGTCCTCCGCATCTGATGCCCTAGCCGCACCAGCTGGTTGCCAGGTCAGCACAATAAGCCCAGCTCGCTTGCTCGCTCTCCCTCTCTCTCTCTTTCGTTTCGGTCGCTTCTTCGCCTTCAGTTCCGAGCAGCGCCGTTGGCATGCCGCGCCCCGAGTACGCGCCTTTTCTCACGTCGCCGCGCGGCGCGTCCGCTTCAATGGGGCGATCGTTCGTCGTCGCGGCTCCGCGCGCTGTCTCGGCACTAAGCTCCGCCGCCTCGGAGACGCTCAGCGCCGCGCTCAGTGTCGCGAAGCTCAATCTGCACCGCCGCCGCCGCCAGACGCTCACCGACTTGACCGACAGCAGCAACAGTCGCAGCGGCCGCCGATCCACGTACGTGGACTGCGACGACGACGACGATGACGACGACGACGACGACGACGACGAGGCCGCTGACCCGTTCGAGCCACTGCAGTCGCTTCAAGCCCAAGAGCACGACCAAAAGCAAGAGCAACAGCGACAGCAACAGCTGCGACACGCGCGTCAATCGCGGCCGCACAAGCCCGTGCGCTCGCCGTCCGCGGGTCGCGTGGCCTCGTCGCCCTCGACGCGCTCGCGGTCGGCGCGCTCGTCGTCGGCCACGTCGCCCTCGAGTCTGCGGGACGAGCCGCTCTCGTCGTCCCTCGTGAGCGACGTGGCGCCGCAGCTGCCCGAGCTCTCGCCCGACCGCGTCCACGCGCTCGTGCACTTCATCGACCGGTCCGTGGACAACGCGTACAACCTCAGCCTCGGCTTTGGCCGCGTGCGCTGGACGCCCAGTCGCGCCAAAGACGGCGTGACGATCCGCCGCGCCAAGGGCGGACCGGACGACACGATGCTGGACGCGGCCGTGCGCGGCAGTTGCAACATCAGCGCGACGTTCCGCGAGATGAGCGACCTTTTGATCACGGAGACGACGGCGGACTTTGCCGAGTTCGAGCACGCGGTGAACCCGACGGAGTTCCTGGACGGCCAAGTGCTGTACACGCTGGTGCCACGCACACCCGAGGAGCGCTTTGTGTGCGTCAAGTGGCACTGCACGCGGTCCATGGCGTCGTCCGTGGCGAGACACCGGGACTACGTGTACGTGGAGCTCGTGGACTCGTTCAAAGACGAAGACGGACGTCGGATTGGCTACCGTCTGAGCAAGAGCGTGGACCTCCCTGACGTGTTGCCCCCGCGGGACACGAAGCATCTTTTTGTACGCGCAAAGACGCTGACGTTGCAGACGTGGAGTGAACGAGCGCCAGGAAGTTTAGAGTTTGTTACTATGATAATTAATGATTTAGGTGACCGTCTGCCGTCTTGGCTTGTGCACAAGATGGTGGACACGGCAGCCATGCGCTCAGCTTGTATACGAGACCATGTTAACCAACGCCGTCTTGATATGCTTGTATACGCTGGACCGAGGGACATGGTGCCGCTAAGCCGCCGCATTTGCTGTGTTGTATGCACGCGCAGCTTTTTCGCTCGTGAGGAAGAAGTACAGCTGTGCGGCGTGTGGAGACGTCATTTGTAACCAATGCAGTGTGCACCAGCTCGTGACGACACATCAGCGGCTGAGCGATCTCTCAGCGCCTGGGGGCAAACGCAAAACGCGCATTTGTCTCAAGTGCAGCAGTACTATGCAGAACAAAGAGTTGCCTCGACGCGCGTCGTGTGCGCGACAGAGCGAGATGTCTCGTGTCAGCTCGGACGGCAGTGTCCACAGTTCTCTAGCATCGAACGGCTCGTTTCTCGCGCGCTCGCACGTATCGGCAGGAAAGACGTCTGACGAGACTCGACGCAGTTTTCTGTCCGACTCAACAGCCGGAACAAGTTCACAGGAATCTGTTGAAGACGGCGGCCGAGGCAGTGGCAACGGGTCTGCTACATTGCGCAAACAGGTACCGAACGTGTTCCAGTTCCGCCTGATGTCGTCTTCACTGGGCAAGAGTGAGCGTTTGTCAAAGGCGTCTACATCTTCTTTGTCGCCCGGTAATGAAGAGGACCGTTTAGGTACCGAAGAGTATCAGGCACAAATGTTTGGTGACAGTGCTCCCGCGCCTGCATCTGTGAAGCTTGACCTTGGTGTTGGAAGATACAAAGAGACCTTGCCTCGACGAAATTCCGAGCGAAAGCTTGAAGTGGAAGCATTGAAGCAAGCAAAGCACAGCGACGTGGAAAGGAGACTTATTGAGGATGATGCTGATAATTTTCTTGACATGAAACGTGGTAGGAAGGGACCAGTGCGTCAATCTGCTGCAGTGATGACGCTAGAGATGGACATGCCTTCAGTACGCAAAGTGGAAGTTGCCAGCTTTTTGACCGAAGAAGAGAATGCGAATTTGGACACTGCATCAAGTGATTCAGAATCGGCCAGGTTTCTTACGGTGGACGAGAATTCTAAAATTGTGGAGAGTCGATCTCTTGGAAGAAGATCTGAGGCTGGTTTCCCAGTTCCTGTACAGGTGGAGGAACTCATTATAGAAGAAGTTACTCCCGAGACGTTCTGTACCGTTCCGCGGCGAAGTAAAGAGTTTGAAGCAATTGGGGTGGAAGAGTTGGTCATCGAGGAAGTCGAGCCCGTTGCTGTAAGTTTTCTGCCACGACGGATCTCAAAGACAGAAGAATTTGCTGCTGGAAAGGTTCACCCCGAGCACGGTGGCATTGTCCCGCGACGCGGCATCAAGTGCGAGCAGGTCGTAGACGAGGAAGCTCAGTCCGAGAATGCGAGAAATGCGTCTGTGCTTTGTATGGACGAAGCGGAAATTGAGATACCAATGGTGGTTCGTAAAGTGTCGAAGAAAGTTGTTGTTGGTCCTAGCAGACGACTCAGTCGCGAATCAAGAAGAGCACCAGCGCTGCGGCCTGTTGGTGCCCCACCTCCACCACCACCGAGGGCTGCGGGTACGCTGTCAGATAGTATAACAAGTGTCAGCAACGAGAACCTGCCGGCTCCAGTTCAAGGATCGACAGCATCAGACGAGGAGGTCATCAAAGTCGAGGATCTACAGATGCATTTGGACCGTATGAACCAAATCTCGGCAAGGCTGCGAGTCCTCCATACGACGGAAGCTCCGGTCAGCACGCAAACAGCAATGGCTGCGCTTACAACGTTTGAGATTAAAGCGAAGGCTGAACGTGCAGCCAAGATTGCAGCCAACTTCGTCAGTCTTTTGGACCGGCATGCTGCACCAGCGGCTCGGCGCGCACAGCAGTATTTGAAGCAGTGTGAGAACCACCGCACAAGTTTGTTCAATGTGACGCTGGCTATGGGCGACGGCAGCTTTGTGGATTACCTCGTCGACTCGACGTTTGAAGAGATTGGTGAGAGTCCTGACGGCACGGGCTCGGGATGGCAGTCCGTGCTCTCTCAAACGACGGGCAAGCAGTATTTCTATAACCAGAATTGTGCGCTTGCATCCTGGACTTTGCCAGGACCTGACGTTTTTCGGGGAACGCTGTATATGGTGCTGTAGCGGATCTTCTTGAGGTAAGCACGCACGAAACGTATTATTTAGCTAGCGACGAGAGAGAACCTGAGTCTGTGCGTGAACAGGTCTGCACCAAGCAAACCTGAGCACACAACGAGTAAAGTCTATCAACGACCAAAGTAAAAATTCTTGCATAAAGCTGCGTGACTGACTAATGTACGTCCAGGCTCTCTTCACCGGTACTCTTCGCGGCCTTGTGTCGTGGCAGGCGCACTGCATTCTCGTGTACGCTCGGCGGCCTTTGGAGTGCCAGCATCCACAGACGAGATGATGCTGGTACGAGGAGTAGGTGACTTCTTCTCCAAAACGGAAGCGGCCAGGTCTGCAAAGCGCGCGGAAAAGCTCGCGGGGCTGGAGGTTAGTGTTGACACTTTGGCGCTGACCGGCACGGGAGACTGAAGTGAAGTAGTGGACGTGACAGACGAGCGCTGGTTGGAAGTCTCAGAAGTCGCGTCCGCGCTGCTGTGGTTGCGTGGCGATCCTGCACGGAAGTCGGCGAATCGAATGAGCTTTTCCTTGCAGGCAAGTTCACCTAGTAGCTGCGTGACCCGCTGCAGAGTCATCGTCGACACGTCGGTTTCATTGATGCTCACGACGCACATGCCCGGGCGCACGTTCCTGCTCAGCTCAATAGCGCCTTTTTCACCATTCGAAAGGTTTTTGAACCCCAGAACGACGGCGCACTCCGGGATCTTGCTATCCAGTAGCACACCTAAGAGACCAGGGGGCACTTGTACTTCTACCATCTCCTCAGTTTCATCGTCACTCTCGCTGTCGCTGTCGTTGTCGAAGAAAGCCGCGCCTTGGAGTGCACCCTGTAGCATGGCATCGTAGTCCTCTGACAACGTCACGGGGATCTCTGCATACTGGTAGTCGAGCTTGCGGAGCTCCTCGTAGTACAAGTTCGAGCCGACAATCTTGTAGTCCGATCCCGCCCAGAGGTTCACCAGCTTCGCTTCTCCTTTGTCTTCATAGTACAGTCCACGCAAACTTCTCGAGTGGATGCTCGTCGACGGCTCAAAGTAGACCACCGTGGCTTTGCGACCAAGATGCAAGATCACTTTGCCATTGAGACTCTCGGGCTCTGCAGAGGAAGAAGCAGAACGGAACGAGGAACCGTTAGTACTACTTATCCGGTACTTATGTGTCCCACACAATCTCCAGACCAAAATCCGGACCTTTCATGGGTGCCACGCAGCCTTGAGACCGCATCAGTTCAATAATCTGTAAATGACCTCTCCAGATCGCCAGATCTAGCGCCGTATAGCCATCCTGAGAGCAGCAGAAGAGACATCATAGAAACGATCGAATCAGAATCATACAGGTATACAGTATACAAGCACGCATTGTCCCGTCGTACGTCCGTAAGGGCGAGCACGTCGGCCCCGTATTGTAGAAGCATCATAGCGATCTGTGTGTTGCCGACGAGACAGGCACAGTGCAGCATCGAGAACCCGCCGCTGTCCGTCAGCGCCGCGACATCTGCCTTGCCGATCTTGATCGTCAAGTACCGCCGCGTCTTCTCCACGTTGCCCTCCAGGATAGCCTCGCGCAGATACTGATTGCTCCTGCCCTGCAGGAGATTCATCGCTCGTTTGGTCTGGTAACAAATATTTGTGTGTGTACACACACGTACGTGCGTAGTGTATACTCAGTCTGTCTCCGTTGTGTCGAGTATACTGTCAATGTGCTTTCCGTTCAGCTTCTTTTTGGCTGCCTCCAGAATACCGGATTTCTCCTTTTTTGCTACTTCACACAAGCCAGCAGTTGTCGATTGTAAAATCCCTCATTGTCGGGACAGCGGAGCCCGAAGGAGAAAAAGTCTGTGGGCGTCATTCACACTCTGCTAGTAACTCAAGTATTTGCAATCGAGTTTCAATCGACAATGTCAGTTGTTGATTAAAGTAGTAAAAGCGTAAGATCAGCTACATGGCGTCCACCTTTGATGCTGCCAGGTGCGACTGAGTATGTGGTGGCATCAGTCGTCGGTGTGTACAACTCCAGGGCTGCATTTGCAGGAATTGACCGGTACATCAAGCAAAAGTTAGCTATTCACGGAATGTCTTCTAGTACTACACGTTTGGTGTTCGGTTAGTTGTATGGGAAGGCAGTGGAGACTTGTAGAAAGCAAGGTCCGTCTCGCACTAGCACAGTGGTCCTACGACTTAGTAGGTCAAGCAAAGCACGTCATAGCGCTCGGGTGGAGACTATTCGTCAACGATGTAAGTCGCAGCAATGATGTGATTAATGACGTGGATCTCGGTGACGAGAATAGCAGCAAATGTGTGAGATGCTGCTTTCTAAGAAAAGCCCGAACGAAGAGCAACTGGAATACCAACAAGCACACGAATGATCATTCGCGAAGTATTACAAGTCATGCTCCAATCCGAGTAGGTGATGCATTCATTTCCTTCGGCTTGTAGTGACCTTGCACGTGTCCACTACAATCCCATGACTGGCATGCGACGAATACTTCCAATGGCTAGTATACCGAATACGTTCGATGCCACGTCCTGTTTTCAAGTTTGTCAGAGACATCGTGTCTCAGCATCGCAGAAGATCGAACAAAAAATGTGATTCGCGAACGATGCAGCCGCCTCATGATCTTGTACGTGTACTTGTATACATTGTTTCTATCACTCGCAAGCGGGGATGTGCCCGTGCGAGGCCTTCAATGCATCAGTGAGAGCACATTAAGGTCGAGTTCCCTTGACAGACATTCTGACATCAATTCATCTAAGGTCGGACGGAAATCGCCCTTGCACTTGGCTTGCGTGCCGTCCGATCACCACCACCAAGACCCTCGCTCACGTGTTGATGCAGTCGCTGCACATACCGTATGGCATGCAATCTACATGATGTCAGCTATTAGCGCCATCGCAGCATTCCAAAATCGCAGGTTCTTCGTATGCGCACGATTGATTACCCACTGCCTGTGTAGAAATCGTCGAGCAGAATCCATTTCTCACCATCGAGCGAGTCACGATACTTCTACTTTCCAAGTCTCACTTCAACCGCCACCACTATGACAAGGGACTTCGTTCAAGTTCTTGGTATCATCCCTTAGGAAAAGGCACCGAATCGCCCGATCGACGATATCGATTGCAATGACTTGCATAAGGCACCTAGGAACGATCCAACCTGCTTTTCAGGACTCGTTGCCAATGCTGAAGATATAACGAGTCGTCTTCTAGGAATAGACGGCTGCAGCACCAAAGCAGTCATTCGTAAAGCACTACTTGTCGGTACGCGTCATGAGTTGTCGCAACAATCAAAAGGCATATACCAAGGACGGCAACAATGCGTGTTGCTAATTCCTATCGCGCATTGGTGCGTCACGAGTCCATTTCTTGAACAATGGAGATGGCAATTGGTGCCGATTGACATTGATCTAGAATGCAGGTATCATCCACCGAGACGTGATTTGAACTGAGCTAGGCTTGGAAAGCCGTGCAGCTGAGATAGGAACCGCTGGGAAGGAACCGCTGTATGGCTAAAAGATGCAGGTAAAGCGTATATTGGATGATGCTCTTCATCTGTACGATGCGAACAAGGATGAACGATGGCGTCAGCTGCTTGTCCCTTCAAAATGAAGCAAACTTAGATCCGAGATCGTGTTGGCACCGATGCCTCAATTGGTGATGACGATATCCGTCGCGTCGGTCGTGATGGCATTTGCCGCATCCTCTATCGTCTCAAGGATGGCATCAACTCCGGTATCGACGATAGCATCGACTCCAGTGTCGACGAAGCCCGTACTTTGGTCCGTTTGGTCCACTTCTGACTGCATCGGGTTCGTGTGACTGTCTTCCACCACTTCATCCGTCTGTTCTGGACCCGAGTTCTCCACCAGTGCTTCGGTCAAATAGGGCACCAAAACATCCGCAATAGCGGACGTGTACGAGTCAGGTGAGATGTCGTGCTGAACATGTGTCAAATCCGAATGTGTCTCCGGCACGTGAACTGAGTCTGGAAACTCGATCGCTAGTGCAGGAGTTGGGTACGCCTCGGTCGTTGTTTCGATAAGAGACAGGTCCGTTTCAGGGACTAACGTGAACACTGGACACGGGGTCACCGGCGCAGGTGTTGAGTAGGCTTCGATCATTTCGACGGGTGCTATCTCTGGTACCAACGTGAATTTCGGACACGGGATCGTCAGACCAGGAATCGGGTGTTCCCCGGTAGTTCCTTCGTGTATCGTGTCTGGCACCGACGTTTCTTCCGGTTGGTGAGGTGGTGTGTCGGACACAGGTGCCACAACTGGACCTGGGGTCTCGGTTTGCACCTCAACATGCTCTTCGACTTGTGCCGGTGTCTCCACCACGGGGACCTCACTTTTCACCTCTGCATCAAGTGCAGGAGTGGGCAATTCAGGGCAAGGGGTCTCGGCATGCTCCTCGACAACATGTTCTTCTTCCTGCACCGGTGTCTCCACCACGGGTGTCTCCACATCGGCCTCCGCATCAAGTGCAGGAGTGGGCAATTCAGGGCAAGGGGTTGCATCAGATTGTACCGAAGCGTGTCCTTCATTTTGCAGTGCTGTCTCCATCACGGGAACCTCACTTTTCACCTCCGCATCAAGTGCAGGAGTAGGCAATTCAGGGCAAGGGGTCGCCTCGGTTTGCACCGGAGTGTACTCTCCTTCTTGCTTCGAGACCCCTTCAACTAGTTCAGGCTGCAGCGTCTCCGTCGGGGTCAGCGCATACCCATCATCGGCCTGTGCTACAGAAGGAAAGACTTCAGGGTGCGGCGCATCCACTACAGTTTGTGCAGGCATCAGCTCTTCCTGGAAAGCAGCATGGTAGCCACCTCCATTCACGACACATGTGTGTGAGACGCAACCAGCGATGATCGCTACGAGATACTTGACGGGGAGCATGTTCGATAGATTGGTTTGAGTGGTCGTAGCGAAAGAGCGAAGCGTGCAGTCAATCGGAGTCTTTGAGGATGCAAAAGTATAAGTGAGCAGCTCATGCATTCGAGGT